AGTTTAAGCAAACTGCAAACGGTTTTAAAGAAAAAATACAAATGTTAAACCATAATTAAATTAAGTTATGCAAATGAGGATAATTTTAAATTTAGATAAATGTTTTTATTTTATTTATCTATTTATTGTTCTTTAGTCCACAAAATTCGTTAAACTGCCTGAAAATGAAATGGCTTGGTCTTGGTTGGTACCAATTTTTCATGGAACAGCAAAAACTGCTTTAAATAATAATTATTTCAGTCCATTTAGACATTAAAAATATTTCATCTTTAAATTAATCAAAGATTTAAAAGAGAAAAAGTTATAAAAAAAAAAGAAAAGGAAAATACAATATTTTTAGCGTCCCAACCAATCGTTAAAAAAAGAAAAAAAAAAAAAGAGCTTTTCCTCTTCTTAACTAACACATTTTTCATTATTTAAACAAATAAATAAAACCTCGTTTCTTTGTTTTTCTTACCTGAGACATGTCGATGTAAATGTTCGTTACAGAAAAAGAAATAAAGGCCTGAAAATTTCAAATGATTCTGTCTTTTCGGAGAAGTAAAAAGAAGAGATACTATCAGGACAAAAGCTCACTGGATAATGAATGGTAAGAAAAATACCCTGCACACACGCACTACACAGGAAACTAATAATAATAGTAATATAGTAATAATAACAACAATATAAATGATTATACTGATAATAACTAGAAAGAAAGAAAAAAGAAGAGCAACTATAAATAATAATTAAATTTCTTGTAGTCCACAGTCGGAGTTTTAATTACTACTGCAACTATTACTTCGGAAGGTATGACGTGGCTCATCCAATAAAGAAGTTAGGCGTTTTAAGTCATTTTATGCTAGAGAAGATATTTATTTACATAGAAGATCATTAGAATTATATATATATATATATATATATATATATATATATATATATATATATATATATATATATATATATAAAGCAGAAACCTGAAGAAAACTAACGACTTAATTGGGGAAATTAAGTTTTATTTCAGGGCGACTATTACAGGGGCTCTTTTCGAAAGCAGGTGGCCACAGCCGAGGAAAAAAAAATTAGTTTTCCTGTTGTTTCTTCTTTCTTATTTTTTTCTTATCGCTAAAGCAGGTACAATTATGAAGGTTTTAACTTCATCCTAACTCCAGTAAAAGATAAATAAAGACATAAAAATTTTAGAGAGAAAAGTGACTTAAAATTAAAAGTCCTTTCAAGGGAGATAAATGCTTCTGATGATTAACAAGATGTCCAGTAAGCAATGATTTTTTTTTACTCTTCCTTATTTTTTGAGTTTACAACTAAAAATTTAATTACATCGTAGCCAACAGCCCTACAAATTTATCGATAATGTATCCAGTGAATATGTATATTCAGAATGGGAGAAAAAATTCCCGTTTTGAAGTTTGTGGTTTTTGGTCATTCTTTTCTTCAAAGTAAAACTATCTTACTTTCGTTTTTTGTTGTTTTTTTTTTTGTTTGGGTATTTTTATATTGTTGTAGAAAAAATCAAGAACAAGTCATTTAAGTTATACTTGGTTTGGTTAGGGAAAAAGTAATAACTTCTGTTATTGGTAGTAAAACGTAATTGAGAAAATTATTTATATTTTTAATAAAAACACATAATGAAGAAAGAGGGCCTGGAGAATTTAACACTCACAGGACATCTCAAAGGCAAGAGAAGTAGCAGTGGGTAAGGGCAATGAGTAATCAATTTCATGAGTTTGAGTGAACAGATGGCAAAACAATGTTAAATAAATGTTGGTATCTCGACTGCCTTAGGTTTTAGTTACTATCTGAGTATCAGGATTCCAAACATTTAACAATAACACACTGTTTAAATGAACATATAAAAGGTTATTTTCTGGAGGAAAAATAGAATAGTGTGAACAGACTTACTTTATGATGGTCAACATAATATGTTTGTGAGATCGTAGACAAAGGCTTAGTAGGTAGTTGTTGGCTAATCCTTACTATTGTGTGCATGGACAAAGCCTAAGTTGGCAGTTGCTGGCTGTCTTTCTTCATTGTGTGCACATGTATATGTACATACGTGTAGATCAAACTGGCCACCAAAATTGCTGTGAGCCTTGAGAAGTAGTATGCTTTTATTTTTATATCCATAATGGGATTCAAAATAGAGGTGTGAACTTTTTGAATACTAGGTTTTCATTGGTTAGAAAATAATTTCACATTAGCTCCCAAAAATCATTTTCTTGAGTTTGCAAGGGTGGTGAAGGGAGTTATTGTTATTTTCTAAATGGTCCAAAAATAAAATGTGGTAGGTCTACAACTACATTCACTGAGTATTTTTGCGGTATTTGCCCTTGTAATGATTCTTTATCCAACAAACCTTCAGATAGGATTTTATTGGTTGAAAAATATATATAGGATTGAATTCCTAAAGAAAGATGGTAAGGGGTCAAAAGTTACAGAAAACTAGAATTGGCCATTCCCAGAAGTGCCAAAGCATATAAAGGAAGAGGAATACTTTAATTTTTTTTAATATTAGTAATGTCTTCTATTTTATTATGTTGACCCACAATGTTAGAGGAGGCTGTTGGTAGTATAGCAGTAGAGGTTGCACTTTCCTACAAATTACTCATATTGTTTTTTTGTTATATACTGCAGATGAGCATCAGTATAGCAAAATGGCTTCTGATATGAAAGTGCATGAAAAACAGAGGTGTACGATTGAATTTCTTCATACAGAAAAAACTGCACCCATTGACATTCATCACCACATGCTGAACATTTACAAAGACAAAACAATGCAAATGAGCACATTCAGGTTGTAGGTAATTCATTTCAACACTGAATCTCAGTATGGATATCATATCTTAATAATAATTTTCCATAAAAAGATGTGGAATGTCAACATCTTGATTATGTCATTATTTTCTCTTTAAGTTACATGTGCTATCCATTTTAGTTGTTGCTGCTGTTGGTAGTCATCAGATGATGTGATTTCTGTTATTTGGTATAGTTCTTTGGTACAGTTCTTTGTGATTCTGTAGTGCCAGTCTGCAATGCTCAAAGAAGGATGATCTTTCCCTAGACCATCAGGCTTTACCTACTCAAAGCTTCTTTTCATTATTGATCTTAAGAAGCGGTTGTATACAGCTGACAATTTAGATATTTCTGAATGGTTTTGGTGCCATGAATGACATCTATATGAAAGTCTCAATCTGACAAGGCTGTTTAAGAACATAGCTAGAGTTTTCAGGTTGATGTTTTGGTTTTGTACAAAAACTTAAAATTCCTAATCTTGCCCTTCTGCACTCTATCAACAAAATATTAGTTAGAAAGAAAAATAGATACAACACCACATCAGATGCCGGTATTTATAACAAAAATCCTGCAATGTAAGATAAGTTACATTGATGAAACATATAGGAATCTAAAAGCCTGCATCTACAAACATAAGCGAGACTTATATTGGGATAACTCTTTAAACTCACTCATAATACACAAAAGCAAAACAGGCCATAATATTGATTTTATAAGTACCACCATAATTTGAAAAGAACATAATTCTTTATGCAGGAAATACTTTGAAGCAGTCCTGATAAATATTTTACCATCTATAAACACAAGTCAATACATGAAGCACCCTTTATTATTGTTGTATCTCGTGTTTTCGAGATAACTGAGGAAAACAAATAAGGAAGACAAACTCGTAGGTAAGTAATGAAATAGAAGGTTTACTACACAAAGGTTCACTTAACAATTGACCTAATGCTAATTCTGCTTAACTCTGCTTATTTACATAAATGGATGATTCCATTCATTTATGTTCTATATGACAATTATATCGCCAACTTTTATAAGATCCATACTTAAATATTCTAGAATATATCTACTTAATACTACAACCAGTGTAATATAAATTCTTCACCCTCACAAATCAACATACAGACAACTACCAAGCATACATAAAAATGTCTATGAGACAAGCAAATACACATTATTATTCCAAATCCTGCATAGGCAAACTAAAATTATGATACACACAAGAATTATACACATGAATGCTGCTTGTCACGAGAGATACATGTGAAGTCTGCTTAACCAATGGAAAACACAAAAATGAAAAATACCAGAATTTTCTCTTTCTTTCTTTTTCCCCTCCATATTTCATTCACTGGTGAATCTTGAATAAAAGTAAAACATATTAGGCTTATAAACATTTCCTATTTATTCTTTATCATGTCATTCTGTTGGATTCCAATCCATATTTGTTCTATATTTGATCCCAATTCATAAACATATATTTAAATTTCCTCCATGTGTTGAAATTCATTTCTTGGTAAAATGTTGAAAGTTTTCTTTTCATACTTCTCAATCTCTTTGGCAAAATTCTTAAGCAATCATATTTGCCACAAAATAACACCTCCCACTGCAAATTGATGACTCTACAACAACCTTGTCCAATCCTGAAGCACAAATTGGTGACCCTACAACAACCTTGTCCAATCCTGAAGCACAAATTGGTGACCCTACAACAATTGTGTCCAATCCTTAAGCACATATTGGTGACCCTACAACAACCTTGTCCAATCCTGAAGCACAAATTAGTGACCCTACAACAACCTTGTCCAATTCCGAAGCACATATTCATTACATGTTCAACAGCAGTCTGTCAGCACATATGTATTGGAAAGTGTTCAATTATAGATCAGTCAGTTCATAAAAAGATTAATGTTTCAGTCTAATAAGAAACACACTATTATAGATATGTGGTTACATAATGTTCTTCGTTGGATGGTTGTTTTTATTTAGCAGCATATCAACCTCTGTGGATTATTTGGGGGTAGATAATAATGTTTTTTGATACATCTTACTAATTAACCCATAGCTGGGAGGAGGAATAAGTGGATTCATACTTTTCCCAAGGGAATTTTTGCATAAATGAATATAATGAAGTCAATTGGAATTGGAATGCAGCTTTCTGATTAACAATTCAAAGCCATTATCCATTAAACCATCCACACATCTAGGCTTACAGCACCTGATATTCCCAAGCAGTCACCGATTTAGGTACTGGCCAGGCTTGACATTGATTAACTTTGGTGATAGTACGGGAACTGGTGTTTCTCAATGGAACCAACTGCTATATATCATTTATGGTACCATTTTTATAAGGACAAAATGAATCCAGAGAAGGCTTAATTTAGCAAAACCTGATTGATGAATATTTCAATTTTTTTCCAAGATGTGTTTTTAATGGTTAGTGTAGAGGTGTGCTAGTGACATACCCTGTCAGAACTTCAATTCTTTAACTCAAATGATAGTGCTTACTTTGGCATCCTATGACAAAAACAGACCTTAATTTTAACCAGATGCACTCACTTCTGGAATATTATCCCAAAATATCAGGTTTATAAAATATCTTTTCTGACCAATCAGAAAAAGACCCACCCAGTTTTTGCAGCAGCCATTCTAAGTCACTGGCTATAAAGCCAATATCATTTTCATCAGCAAAGGGAGATCCAACCAGGCTGGCATTAGAGATGTCCCCATGGCAGGTGAATTTAACCAGACCATCAGCTGCAAACACCAAGGTGCTTCCATTGCCATAGTTTGATTGAAAGAAGAGATGAGAGGCAGGAACGCCACAGAACAAGGCGGGGCTTTTTATAATGCTTGCAAACAACACAAAACTCAGATATCCTTTTTTACTGCTTCAATTAGGCTGTTTTCACATCCAGCATTACCCAGCAGTTGCTTGAGTTTTTCATATGAAGGATGTGTGAATTTTCTATGCAATTTTCTGCATGTCCATATTTTTTTCAACTAAAAGTACTCTCTGTAATGTCTCTGTTGTAGGTGGCCTAAAAATAGGGATCATGTAATGTCCTCGACTGGACATATTTGATTCAAGAAACATGTTAACTATATTTTTGTCTAAGTCAGCATACCTGTTCATTGCATTGATGATTTACTCAACAACAATGGCATATTGCAGTTCACAATATCCTTTGGTCCACAATGAAATCCACAGCATCAGAGGCTAACTCTTGAATACTACATGTAATATAATAACAACACCATGTAGAAGTTTGTGGAGTGTTATTAGACTGTCACTTTTAATGCTAATAAACATTATATTTATTGCAATGGATAATTACAAGAGCGAAGATGAGGTGTGCTTATTTTATTATCACACTACAATGTGATAATTTATGGAATATTATTCCCACAAGTCTATCTCGTTCGATTATATATGCATGTTGATTTTCTCCATGTCTTTCTTGACTACTACCTTGTGTTATACCACGAACAAACTCTCAGTCTCCTATGACTGATATACAATATCTTGGGGCAAGCAAATGATTAAAATCCGTAAATCATGGAGAATAAAACCTTTGACTTATCTCAACCATGTCTTAACTACATATGCATGTTGATTTTCTCCACGTCTTTCTTGATTACTATCTTGTGCTATACCAGGTATAGTCAACCCCACATCCAGCTCATGAATAATTTTTGTCCAGCCTACCAAATTAACCATAGTATGGAATTTGCATTTTTTTTACTGTGTTAGTCATTACCCTGATATTCCTGTAGTAAAATAAGGAAACTTGTTTAAATAATACTAGCAGCATGGCCCGGCGTTGCCCGTGCTTGATTCAAAAATCGTATGACTCATACAGCAATTGCTATCACTTGATTTAAAATATTTTTGCCCTTCCTTGCCTTTAAAGGAGTGCCCTTTGCCATGCTGATGTTGCTACATACCTTACTTCTTGCCTATCTCACACTGCAAATTTTTTTCTAAGCTCTATACTAAACATTTGTTACAAAAAAAAAAAAATAAACGAAATGAACACAAAATGATCAGCTTAAAAAAGGACTCGTAACTGAAAAAACCAAATGAAAAAAGAATGTTAACAACAAATATTTTTTCACACCCAACCCAGTTCTGTGGAATCAGAATCAACGTTGAGTTTAAGCAAGCGAATGAGCCAATTGGAGTAAAGTGCCATGCAGATTTAAATTTTTCCCACTTGTGACGAATGCAGCTATTGATTTTTTTTGCATGCTAGTTAACATTCGTGTCAGTCAGCTGTTGGCTCTCACACTGGCCAATAGAATCTTCCTGCCTATTCGTGGCAGCCAACTATAGGCTCTCACTCTGGCCAGTAGAAAATGGCTGCAAACTACATGAAAACTGCCATAGAAGCATGAAAAAATCGATTATTTCCATTATTGATGGGAGTTGGGAAATGCAAGGTCAGTCTTGGCCTTCCCACTAACTTGGAGCATGTGCATGTAAATTTTGGTGCAAATCCATCAAAAATTGCAGCCGTGCATTCGTTACACACACACACACACACATCCTGAGATTAACTTTGCTGTTTTTCTTTAAACCTCTAGGCTAAGGTAGCATTCTGGACAGAACGGTCGGAGATTGAGAAATTTTTTATTGTACATTTGATACCATGGCCCTCCTACAAGACACTGTATAACTTTCTGGCCTGCTCACACTAAAAGGTTGCTGGCCCCTGTGCAAACTCTCAGTCACCTTTCTTTTTGACAAACTATTTCTACAAAAATGCTAAGAGAAATGTAAAAAATCAGGATTAATTTTACACTATTATTTTTATATTAATATTAATATTATTATATTAATATTATTTTTTCTAAAATGATAAAAAAAAAATCAATATTTTTCAGTTCTGACATATATCATGCTTTGAGCACAGTTTAATGAATGCTAATCTACAAAAATTATTTCCAAAATCTTTTCCCTGATTGATTCAATGTATCTAACTAGTGCCATTTCTTTCTTTTTTTAAAAAAAGTGCCCTATCCTCAGGTTATGTGCCAAATTCAACAGCCAGAATGAACACTTTTATTTCCACCAACGACATTGATACAATCAATATAACCAGGCCATCAGCAGCGACACCAAGGCACTTTCATCAGCAACAAAACTGGCAGCAGCTGCAATGGCTAACTCGACTAATTTATTTTATATTTATTCGATCAAGCAAGCTCAGACATTCATGAGTCTATCACGCCAAGCATCACGGCCCTGCATTAATGTTGGAAGGTCATTAGGGTGGCATTCTGTGTCATAACTTAGCTGATCAAGTAGTTGTTTGCTAGACAACCAACCCATCTTGCTTCATGGCTAGGTATCCAGAGTAGTAAATCATTCGTAAGCCCTTGTTTTGTATGTCAGCAGTGTTCTGTGTCTGCATAAGATTGTAGAAATATCAGGGACGGATCCATTAATCAACTGCATATGCATGTCGATTTTCTCCATGTGTCTTTCTTGACGATTACTTTTCACTGCTGTGGAAAAGAATAGTAGGAGGCATTTGAATTCTATGTAGAGTGTCCTTTTCAGAACATGGGCGATCATGGCTTTCCACAATTTTCCTGTCCTTTGTAGGGCTTAGTAAATTTTGTCTTTTTGTAATTTCTCCTGAACCCTGTTCTGCCATCCATTTACACAAGCTGTTTTTCTCTGTCCCTCTTACATCCTGTGAGTATCAAATTTTCCAAATGCTCTTTCCTCATCATATGCCCCAAAAATTTCAACTATCTCTTTCTGATTCTGTGTATAAGTGTCCTTATTGTTTTCATTTTCTCTAAAACTTTGTCATTCATTTCATAGTATTCTCAGCATCCTGCTGTAGAACCACATTTCTAATACTTCATCTTTATTCTTCATCTATGAGGAGATTGTCCAGTATTTGATGCCACATAGGAGGACTGATATTGTATAACAGTTCAGTACTCTTTTCTCGGATCAAAGAAATTTCAGGTCAGCAAGAATGACTGAAGAATCTTTAACTCCTGTGTCCTTTTTCCTTTGACACCATTATTATTTTAACTACCTTCACACCTCAGCAATGTTTATTGATTTAAAAAGCATTGATTAGAATTTTAATAAAACCTAAATATATGAAAGTGAATTTATACATTTTGTTTGTTTTTGAGAATTGACAACAAAATTTAATAAACACTATTTATTTGATTGTTTATTGGAATGGTTGGCAAAACATCACCTAATTGCTAATCAATTTGAATTTTATAAAATAAGGATTTTCTTATAGCTAATTCATATATTTTAATAATTTAGTAAATGTTTATAAATTTATGAATAAAAATTTTCATATTTATTTCTTTATAAATTGGTAAATGATAAATATTGTATTAGTTTTTTTAAAATGTTGTAAATATAAAATTATTCTTGTAAATAAACAATCAAATAAATAAGTAATGTTTAATATCTTTGTTGTAAATTCTCAAGAAGAAAATGTATAAGTTCACTTTCATATGTTTAGGTTTTATTAACATATTTTTCATTATTTCACCCCAAGCAAGGCAATTAAGCCACTAAGATGCAAGGGGTTACTGAGTGTTAGAGAATATGAGAAAAAAAACAACACTATTAATGCGAGAGAACAATAAATGAACAAGACTGAAGAAGCCAGAAGATAACAATTGACAATGTATTTAAATTTTTGAAAATTAAAGTTGACTGGGAAGCAAGAAGCCAGGACAGAGTTCTACAAGCGAAAAGTGCAAGAAACTTTTAGCATAGGACTTATGGTTACACCTAGCCATTTCAGCTGTAAAATGATGCGATCTTGCTAAATATATTAAAATAATAGTGTGTCAAGGGAAAAATGTTCCTTTTGATACACTGTTTTTAGCAAGAATGAAGTTTAAAGATTGTCATAATGTTTATATCTTGTGACTATCAAGAGTCTGAATTTTATCATTGCAACTCTTATATTAAGCAAATTCCTGGTCACCCCAGGATAGGGGAATGTCTCAGAATTGCATGACAGGTAGTAAAACAATCATTGTAAAAAAACGTCTTTACAAATTTGAGTCAAGCCTCTTGAAGGTTAAATGATCTAAAATTAACCAAGAAATGCTGATATGTCGACTTTACCTTTATTGTTGAACTTTATCTTTTTTTGTTATTGTCAGCTGACAAAAAAGTTTTTTATAGGACATTAACGACCTAAATCATGCCATTTGTCTTATCTTTGTCCTCTGTTCTCTACACAAGTACTTGGCTTTTAGAAGGCGAATCCATTATCATCTATCGCAAGAGATAACGTCTGTATT